TTTTCCCCATCTGTTCATTGCTACACAAGTCACCGTACGAGAACATGAAACGCTGCCACCTTGTTTCCTCTTGTTAAACAACCTAGAATGCACCAATATGAAATGTCCCCAGGGAGGTTAGTAGATTTTAAATGGCCACCAGAGCTTGTCTTAACAACCTGTTCAATTGCCTGTTTTTGCACTGGGGGCAGGAATTGATATCATGACAGCACCCAAAAATAGACTAACGTCGCAGCATGAATCGGTCAATGTAGAGAGAACCAGTGTGGAAATTATCTGAAGCTATCTAATAGAAATATACGAGTAATATGATCTAGCAATTTGCATGTATATATTATATTGCAGCAGAACATTACAAAAACACCATCATGTTCATAGATAACATTACACATCAACATAATTTTAGGAAGTAGCTTAGCTTATTAGATTTTAAGTTTGTTCCCTAATAATCATGAATTCAAATCTCTTTAGAATTATTGAAAATTTATATGGTTGTTAATTTCAAAAATTATGAGATTAATTAAGATCCATGTAAATTGACTGGAAACTCACATTAATAAAAAAAAAAATATTTATTGCACATCAACAATGCCATTGGATAGATCCAGAATTTGATCAATATATGGAGTTTTCTAGGTCTTCCCCCTCCTCATTGCCATGTTAAATATCATTCTAGCCATGCTATCTTGAAATTCATAGAAGAATAATCTTCTACACCTATAGAATGATACGCCAGGCAGCCATTTATTTAGTTGCGTCTTTCAGAGAGGCGCCCCTCGTCTCTCTTTAAAATATCTCAAGTGGCTGTTTGTCGTTGTGTCTTTCGTAGGGGTGTCTCTCCTCTCTCCCTCCAGATATCCGAAACCTCTCCTGCATAGAAAAACAAAAGAAGAAAACAAGGATGTTGACCGGGAAGGTTCCTATGATTACTTGTGCATTGATGTCTGTGCGTGGACCGATGATTTTCATTTTCTAGTTTCGGGATATATGCATTGTCCAGAAAATTAAGTGGAAGGCCTCTTTCTTTGACCTGGACTATTCACCGCGTGCATTCAGATTATGCAGTGCAAGTCAGCAATTGTGAACTTCCCTGGATCGTAACGACGACGTCGTAACATAAGCACAAGCTAATGTCGACTTGCTTCAAGGTGTAACACCACCAGCACTCAAGTATAGCGTTATTTTTTTTTTTGAGAATTATGCAATAAATTAACTCTACCTAAATATTTATTGGAATCCCGTTTTCATGCTATTCCTCTAGTATTTGCAAATGAGATCTTTCCAAGTAAAAACTTCCAGTCGTAGTTGCTAGAGTGTCCCCTCGAGGACAAACATAACTAAACTAAAAAGTCTTAGTATTTGAATAGTCTACTTAATTGTTTCATTTATGGGATTTAATCTGGTCTAGCTGGTATAATATTAATTTTGAGGTTTTCTTAATGTATTCACAGTGCCAATTCGTTTAATTACCGAAGATCGTTGGTATCAAGCTAGAATTTGGATCTCTCTTACCATCTTATTAACTTATTGCACAAAAAGTACAACTGCTATCTACTATGCCGATGATATATATATGTTTCACAGCAAAAAAAAATTAATAAATATAAATCAAAATATTGAATGAATTTTTTTATCAGTATATTGCGGTGATTTTTATCAATATGATTTTTTATTCTTATATTTATCAATAAATATTAATAAAAAAATTTTCTCAAAATATATAAAGAGAATTGCAATGGAAAAATAAAAGATAAAAAAAATCAAATAATATAATGACATATAACTTTTACGACAACATTATTAATGGTAAAGTATATTTGTAAATATAGCGGTAAACAAATTAAATTGTAATGTACAAAGAAAATTACATAGGGTATTAGAGTAAGATTCAAAAGGGCAAATCATATAATGATATGATATTTTTACTAAAAAAATAATTATATCGGTAATATCATTAGTGATATTTAATTTATGACTTGTAGATCGACATTCATCTCCCCCTCCCTCATTTCTCCTTCTTTCTTATGCTTTTTTTTCCTACAACAAATAGTCACCCCTCCTCCCAATCTATATATAATTCAACCTTCCATAATAAATCTGACTACTACAACACTTAATTTATCAGTATCCATGTTCTGATTCAAATTTTATTGAAAATTATCCACTTTAAGTAAGCAAATCTATCCTTTTTTATTTGAAATCAATTTTAAAATGTTGATTTTTTATGCATATTTCTTATAATATATGTATTTTGTTTGGGTGTTCAATTATTTTATAGTTTTTTCTCATACAAATTTATTGTATGAATTTATGATTTGTACATGTTAGAGTTTGTTTTAGATTTTGTAAAATTATATTTGTTTGTAAATTGATGAAATTTATGTTGAATTTTTTACTTAGATGTTTTATGATGAAATAAATAATTGCTTATATAATGGGTTTGTTCTATATTTTGTCAATTTTATTCCCTATTTGAAATTTTTGATAAATGTGTAGAAATTTAAATTTATGTAGATAATTGATAATGAATTAAGAGTATTAGTAAAATATATTAAATAAATTTGAAATAAATCAATATTTTTACAAATTATTTAATTAATACATGTTGTCACCATTACTTTATATAGGTTTGATATAAGTAATGAATGATCATTCATAAAAATACAGAAATTCACCACAAGAGTTGAGAAGGATGAATTATTGCACGAGGATTCATGATTTTATTAATTACGTACTATCTAATCTGAGAAATATTAGAGGAGGAGGTATTTGATGTTCATACAAGAGATTTAAAAATAAAAAATTTCTCAATCCAGATGTTGTAACGATGCATCTTCTATATAAAAAAAAAGTTCATGAAAAAATACATGTGTTGATATGCATATGAAAAACCATATATTCCTCACGATACTAATGTAGAAAGAATGGTCAGGTCAACTTTTAGTTCTAACAACGTATATGAAGTTGTAGATGACAATAGTAATCCTTATAGGAATATGATTATGAATGTAATGAGAATGAATCATAGTTATACCATTCAATGTCCAATTGTAGATGGAGAACCCAATGCAGACGCGATCATATTTTTTTATCTTTTCAAAAATTCAAACAAACCACTATAAAAATTGTTGCATAAATCAATGTAAATTATTGATTGTTGCAGAAGTGTTTACCATAATGTTAGATAATGGTTTGAGTAAGGTTAGCTATAACAAAATTATTACAACTTCTATATTGCTAAGTTCATAATGAAACTCCTCAGTAGAAGATACTAACAAATTGACATGTGTCTAAACTTCTGCATGTTGTATTACCTTGAAAATGCAAAATTGACCAAGTATAGACTATATAAGTATTCTGGCTATAAATTCTTAATTGGCAGGGAAATGACTCTTATCACACACAAAAAACATATATACTTTCCAATCATGTATAGACTGTAGAAGTTATTCATGTCACCAAAGATTGTTGAGCACATAACATAACTCCAATCATATGATGCGGTGAATGGGGTGATGGTGCATCATTCTAATGGTAAAGCCTAGAAACACTTTAACAATGTGTATTGTCAATTTTTAGTGGAGACAAGGAACATATGTCTTGAGTTATGTATAAACAGATTCTATCAATTCGGGTAATTTATTACTTTTTATTTTTGTTGGTCAGTAATACTCATGATTTACACTAATTTTTTTAGCACGCTTTGTTTGTTTATAAATCTATTTGTATATTTATTATTGACAGACTTATTGACAAACTATGAATTACCGATGAGAGTTTTTTTAATAGATTGTATGTGTCTGTAAATTTATCAGTAATATACATACCAATATATTACTAGTATAAATATTGATAAATTTTTTCATTAATAAAATTATTAAATTTGATAGTGTACGTGGCCTTCCACGTCTAGTAAACAAAAAAAGAAGAATCAACTATACTATATTTTCCTCAACAATTCATTAATTAATTCCATTCAATCAAGAATTTAATCCTAATTATTATGATCATATTAACTACACGACTGCAAATGCAACCAGCCTCCATTTTCATTTCTCAACTTGATCCTGACAGTCGTCTCGTGCTTGTGAAGAAGTGGTGCATTCCATTTTCTTTTCTTTTTCGTTTTTCCCTTCTTTGGTTTTCCTTTTCTTTTTATAAACATGGTCCAGGTTTCGTGTAAAATGAAGTAATTTGGATTAAACTTAGTCAAAACTTTATGTTAATTTTATATCAAATTAGATGATAGTTGATACAAGTTAAAATCAATCTACTCGGTCAGAATTTAATTGTTAATTTGACTTTAATAAAAAATAAAATGATATCATTTTAATATTAAAAAAACTAATTAAAATAAAATCATTTTATTAAAAAAACCCTCCAAAAAACGTTATTTTAAATTAATTTTGATTTTAATAACATCAATGAAAAAAAATATTAAAACCCTGACCTTATTACTCTTGTTTTTTTAAAAAAAAAAATCCCAAGTAATTAACAAGATATTTTAAAAGTTGTTTGGTTGCTTATAATAGTCTAGCTGCTTGTTAATGAGTGCAGCCGCAAGTTGCATCCAAGAAAAAAAAGATGCTTTTAATTAGCGGTTGCACATCATTAACAAATGTGCTCTAATATGTAGCGCCATTAGCTCAAGTTAACCGATCCCCAACCAGTAATTATTCATTATTCTCCTTGTAATAAAGAATAGTGTAAGAAGTAGCAATTCCTCGTGTGGTTTTACTGGGGAGCCACTACATGACAATCGAGGACATCTCACACTCTAGTCGGTTCTCAAAAGGTGATTTTATAAATTACCTTTAAACTAATATGATCTCATATTGTCCCGTGTGTTTTTGACCTTATGTGTGTGAGCGATGGAGGCTCTTGGTTCCGGGAAATTGCTGGATGCTTTTTAATATTAGAGATGCTTTTAATCTTTCTCGTCTTTGGACTTTCCAAGCACGTGCATGCTCTTAGAATTTGGTGCATAAATATCCACCAAGGCCTTGTAAGCTTGAGAGCAATTAGTGAAAATCATTGTTCTCTAAGGCATCGAAGGAGGATAAGAGAGAATTAATCTATACTGTTCATTCAAGTTCATACATAAACAAAAGAAAACGACATGGTGAGGGCTCCTTGCTGTGAGAAAATGGGATTGAAAAGGGGGCCATGGACACCTGAAGAAGATCAGATCTTGATCTCCTACGTTCAGAAATATGGCCATAGCAATTGGCGTGCGCTGCCTAAGCAAGCTGGTAAGTTATTCTGATAACCCTTCCCGGGTTTTCATCTAAAGACATCTGGAACGTTCTTTTTGATGAATTTTGCTATGAAGGTTAGCCCTAAAGAACGCATGAAAGGATTCTGATGACACTGGAACTTTTGGTTATTTATTTCTGCAGTATGTGGCCAGCCAAGTGGCAGTTGGTCTTGAGGAGTATAAATCTAAGCACCATGCCAGAAATTAGATGAATGATATCTGTTAAAGCAAATTTATAATGAGAGTTTTGAACCAAATTAGTCTAATAAGCTATCTTAGTTAAGAAGGTCCTGGTTATCTCTATTGCATGGCTAATGTTTTATTTCTCTCTCTGCAGGTTTACAAAGATGTGGCAAGAGTTGCAGACTCCGATGGGTAAACTACTTGCGGCCAGATATAAAGAGAGGCAACTTCAGCAAGGAAGAAGAGGAAACTATCATCAAGTTGCATGAAGTTCTTGGAAATAGGTACCGCACTGCTTGGATTGTCAAATTCTATATATGAGTGATTTCTTGTTTGCCCTTGGAAACTTCCATTATTCATTAGATGCGAGTTGCTTCATCACCATTAATTAACTTGATCAAATAAACAATGAAAAAATGGCAATTTGTGTTTGCATAGATTCTTTCCTCTTCTTTAACTATTTGGTGGGGTCTAGTAGTTTAATTCACGGAAACAAACGTGTTTTCTGCTTCAAATTCAGTAGGGACTGAAGCTATGTCATCGACAAAGTTCTTTGTTTTACACAGACTGCAGTAACTGGAACAGGAACAGGAACCCCACCACTGAAACAGAAATTTTTTTAAAAAAAGATAAGAAACGAATTATAATTGTAAAAAAAAAAAGATAAGAAACGAATTATAATTGGAGTTGAGAGATTCCCTGACTAATTTAGGTAACTACAAGAGGAAATTGTACAGCTCGATGTCAATCATATGTAGATCATGCAGATAAAGTTACTTGGTTCCGCATGAACCTTTTTTATCCTGTCCAACTCATTATCTCACACAAATTTTCTTCCATTTTCCAGGTGGTCGGCAATTGCATCAAGATTACCAGGAAGGACAGACAATGAGATTAAGAATGTATGGCACACCCACTTGCTAAAAAGACTCAAACAAAATGGCGAATCCAAGTCACAACAACACATCAGAATACCAGACTGTCATCTCAATGACAATAAACTGTCACAATCGGCAAATTCGACTGTTCCTTTTCTTTCAGGGTGCAAGAGCATAGAGGACGCGCAAATGTCCCCTCAACCCTCTTCTAGTGATCACTCCTCAATCACTGATACTTCAGAAACAAACAACACCGGCTTGATCAAGGTTGAAAACATAGACTCATCAGAGATTTATCCGGTGATTGATGAAGATTTCTGGTCAGAACCAGAAATGGTTGAGAATTCTGGCATGCCATCATCAAGTTTTCTAGACGACTCACAATTTCCATTCCCCTCACCAGACACTGTGGAACCGGCAGGATGTAATGGTTACGGTCCAAAGGTTGACGATAACATGGGATTTTGGTACAACCTTTTTATTAAATCTGGGGGAATAGAAGAACTACCAGTTCAATACTTACAGAGGTATAACTATCTGGCGGATGAAAGAATCTGAACACTATGGTGCCTTGTTTTCGACTTCTTCGACATCGAAAGTACCTGGAAAATGTGGGGGTAGACTTGTCCAAGTCCTAATGATAGAATCATTGGTTGAAGAAGAAAAAAGAAATGCTAGTCTAGAAAAAAAAAGAAAAAAGGGCGATTATTCCCTTGATTTGCTGCAAATTGAGAGGACAAAAAGAAGAATAAAGTGGGCTACATATATAGGAAATTTTTGTATAGAGACAAGGGATGTCTAAAGGGTGGAATCTTCGTTGAACAAATGTTTATGATGAATCTTTTTATTCATAAAACTCTAACCATTATGTAGATCAAAATAGTGAATTAATGTTATGAATCCTGGATTGTTATCGGTTGTGCAGTGAACTTCTGCAACTGGTTTGATCTGTATAAATTTAGTTCATACAATAATTTCTCGTTGTATACCTAATCTAGCTCTAACGCATCACATTTTATCCTCTCGTGACTCGATTCTTTTCATTTGCCTGCCTCCATTTTGCAATTGATCATGGAAGGTGGTTCCTGGATTAATTACTCAGACAGAATGAACCAGTTGATGATGGTTTGCTTAAAATTCCTGTAGTGGTGAACTTGGAACCGCTACAATAAAAGTTGATATGCTGCCATGTACATGCTGGCATCCAATTGTTGCTGTTGTCGAGGCGTCACTCATTAAGGTAGAATTCGAACTTGAAGAGCGTTTTTTTTATTTTTATTGTGTTAATAATTATTTTTTAAGTATTTTTATTTAAAAATATATTAAAATAATATATATTTTTTAACTTTTAAAATTTATTTTTGATATAAAAAATTAAAAATATTTAAAAATAAATTTAAAATAAAAAATACAAAATATTTAATTTTAAAAATACAAAAACAAACGGCTGCGATAAAAAATTGATAAACTAAATTTCATGGGTACCATGAGAAAACAAAGGGATGTTCATGGTGTGGTATGGAACACTTTTTTAATGCACTTCGGCACAACCTTTTTGTGGTCTGGAGCTAGAAATTTAGATCGGTGGACAATTTTGGAAGCAAAACATGTTAAATTAAAGGGTATAACTAAAAATCTCAGAAAATTAGGGCTAAAACGGAAGAATTTCTAAAGTTTTGGGGTGCCATGTCCCCCCACCCTTCATGTAAAACATCCGCTCCTGGGATCAGCCTCCTAGCGAGTTGATCCGGCGACCGACATTGTTACTGCCTCTCCTTGCAACCATGACAAATATTTGAAGGAATTGACTGATTGATCCTCGAGAGAAACTTTTCTTGCTGTAGATGATTGTTCTCGAGAAAGTAGCAGTGTGAAATGGAGATAATTGTTCCATTCATCTTTTATCTGTCTTGCAATGATTAAAAATGCACTGCAACTAGTCAATTCTAAAGAAAAAGACAGAGTTTAATTGACCGATGGTTCCAGATTGCATTTAACTTCACTTGAGGTCATAATTCACCATTGAATGTCCTGTTATTTCGTACCATTTCATCTCTGCCTGTTTGTTTTTCTGGGCTTCAAAAAGGTGTTGCTTGCTGTGGTTTCCGAGACCCAAGTAAAAGCTTCATGCACATCATTAGTTAGCTCTAGCTAGGATGCTTCTTCCTCTTCGTTCCGGTACGTATTATTTTTTAAGTAAAATATTTAGATGGTATAAGTACATTTTAAAGGGAACAATTTTAATAACTCCGTTATATTTTTTTTATTAACTAAATAAACTTGTTTTATTTGAGTCATATTAAGAAAAACAATAATAAATAAGAATATATATATATATATATATCAAAACCAATTAGTAACAAAAATCAACATGCATAATAAAAAAAAAAAAAATGAAAGGCTCCTTATAGTAAAAATATGATAGAAAAATAAATATTAATCTATATAAAATATATATGAAAAATTATAGATGAACTAACCTCTTAAAAAAATTCAACAGAACCAATATAATTTAAAAAATTAATATTAAAAAAAACTAAAAAACCTTTAAAAAAAGTATTTATTAAAACATAAATTATTTTAAATTAAAACACTCAATAAAAAAATTATTTTAATATATCCGAAACTAAAACATACTTTAACAGCTACTATTCCCAAGACACCGCCCCACACCCTAAAAGTAATATCATAGAAAACAAGTGTACCCCACACCCTAAAAGTAATGTCAATGAAAACAGTTGTGCCCCCACACCCTCTAAAAGTAGCAATATCAATGATTAACAGGTGTACCGCACACCCTCTAGAAGTAGTAATATCAACGATAATAGCTGTCCTGTTGACAATAATTGATATGGTGGGTGTGGAAGCATAATAATAATAATGTACAAGAAACACAACATATATAACCATTTTTTTGTCGATTAAAGAAATTATTAACAATATTTTAACAGGCGTCGTGAAAGAAGTGTTACTTTTCTCACCCCACATTTTTTTTCCCAATGGTTTTTTTTTTTTGTCTTTACGTGTTTTTTCTTTTTTTCTTTTTGAATATTGTCTTTTTTTTGTGTTTTTTTAAATTATTTTTATTAATTTTATAATATTAAATTAATTAAAATTTAATTATGTAGTTTTTTAAAAAAATATTATAAATTATTATAATTTTCCTTTTCATTATTTTTTATTTTTAAAATATTTGTAAGTTTTGTTTCGTTGTTTTTTAAAATATTATAAATTATTATGATATTTTTTCTTTTAGCTTTTGTTTTTGTTGTAGTATTTTTTTATATTTTTTAAAATCATTTTTATTAATTTTTTTAATATTAAACTGATTGAGAATTCACCTAACTTTTTTTTTTTTAATTTTTTTTTAGAATTATTTTTATTTTTATTTTTTTCTTAATTTAAAATCATTTTTATTAATTTTTTTAATATTAAACTGACTGAGAATTCACCTAATTTTTTTTTTCTTAATGTTTTTTTAAATTGTTTTTATTTTTATTTTTTTTTAATTTTTTTTAGAATTATTTTTATTAATTTTATTTTTTTAATATAAAACATTGTAATTACTATAGTATTTTTATATAATTTTTTATTTTTTATAATTTATTTTATTTTTTATATTAAGTTAGTTAAAAATTTAGTTTTATAATATTTTTTGATTTAATTTTTTTTATAATTTTTTGAAAAAATTATTTTTATCAATTTTATTATTTGATGTCTTATTATAATATTTTTTTATTTAATTTTTTTTATAATTTTTTTAAAAAATTATTTTTATCAATTTTATTATTTTTAATATTAAACTTAATAAAAATTACATCTATAAATTACTTCATGAAATACTATAATATAACTTGCTATAATATTTTTCTATATAACTTTTTTATTATTTTTTTATTTTTTAAATATTAATCTAATTAAAAATTTTATTTTATAAATTTAAAAAAAAACACATAATGAATCATAATAGTTTTTCATCATCTATTTTTCCACAAATCGATAACAACACAAATCTATAACAATACACAAACATAATAACAGAAATCTGTCACAAGCTCGTAGCATCACCTATAACATTTAGTTTTAATTAAAAATGGTTAAAAAAACCTCAATAATGAAACCAAACATGTTTTTTTTTTTTTCCTTTTAGACAAGGAAATAAAGAAATAAATAGTCAAAATGACATTGAACATTACCTAAAGTTTTCTTTTAAAATGAATCTAGAGCTCAAAGGCGTGGAGTTTCTTGAATGCCATGAATCTACAATGGACTGTTTGTGAAACATGTCGTGAAGCTTGTGTGAAATTGAGAACGGGCTGGGCTAATACCATAATAATCAATCCAACCCTCGCGAACGTCGACAGCTCCAATCACACATCAGATACTTTTCGGAAAGTAGGATGATTATGCCATGGAACCCAACACAAGCAAGACAGCACGGCTATGCTAGCACAACTTATCATACAATCATATTCCAAATGAGATGCAAGACCATAAAAAAGCCATCTTCCGTGCAAAATTACCTTGAGAACTCATCATGTATAGGCAGCAGCTATTGAAGTCTCAATCGAGGAAAACATACGACAAAAATTCAAACATCCTCGTAACATATGTGACAGTCTTTAACAAAGTAAGATCCAAGGTGGCAGCTCCTCCACAATTAATTCATCTAGGTAGAAAAAAAGCTTTATTGAAAATTTAACGCTGCCGGCTGGTTTGGAAGGTGAATGGGCTCTCTGTGTTATTACACGCCAGTGAAGGGCGGTGGCGGGCGCATCTAAGAGAGACACGAGTATGCGAGAGCCTTCTCCTCAGAAAGCTCATCAGCTGTCAAATCCAACTTCTTCCTTGAGAATTCATCAATGCTGAGCCCTGAGTCACAGAAAGAGCCATAAAACAGTTGTAATACTCCAGGAAAGCTGAAATTCAAGATTAATATGAACTGAAATACTAGACTTTTCATAAAGAGGCAAAACTTGTAAGAAGAACATAAACTGTAGCTTGCTTGTACAAAAATCAAGATGAAAATATCCTTGGGAGTAAAGGTTCAAACAAAATTTCCTATGCATTTTTCATCACATAAAAATTCACTTTCCTAAGCCTACCGCACAACCAGACTTGAAGGCAAAGGAAAACATCAAATTTTAGCAGATAACAGGAGCGCATGGGAAATAAGAGAGAGCAGGTTTTTAGAGATCCAAAAATACATCATAAAAATATATGCAGTCACCAGCAAACACCATAAAAACAATACCACAATGCCAAAGATACAAAAAAAAAAAAGAATCCTGTACATTTACAAGAAACAGATAACATCTGACTATATTATAATCTCATATATTGGCATAAAATCATGAAGAGTAAGTGGAAAATGATGATATTTTATTTGGCAATCCCCACCTTGAACAATTTTCCACTCTCCATTCTGACAAGTTACAGGGAAGGAATAAATGAGACCAGCTGGTACATTGTATGAACCATCAGAGTACACCCCCATAGAAACCCAGGTACCCTACAATAAAGAAAATAAAATCATACCATAATACTAAACTTGCACAATTGAACATCAGAAAGCAAGTCAGCCATTGTCAAACCTCAGGAGTTCCAAGAACCCAATCACGAATGTGGTCACAAGCTGAGCTAGCAGCTGATAGCGCACTTGAAAGCTTCCTTGCTTTGATGATTGCAGCACCACGTTGTTGAACAGTAGTGATGAACTCTGCATTCAACCTTCAACCAAGACATAGAATTAACATTGTGCTTCACAGCTTTCCAAACCAAATTAAACAGACTTTTAAAATATATACAATCATTAATACCACTCGTCGTCCTTAACAAGCTCCCGCACGGGTTTCTCCCCAGCTGGAGTCTTAACAGTAGCATGGTTGACATCGGGGTACTGGGAAGAC